TTACAGAAAAAGAAATAAAAATCTTGTATCGTAGCTGGTTACGAAACCCTTTGGTCCACCATCGTAACTGATCTTTCGTAACCAGCTACGAACATGGATTTTTTTTCTTCCTTTGATAACCAGCTACGAAAACAGAATTAATTTGTCGTTTTGGTAACCAAGTTTCGTAACCAGCTACGATACAAGATTTTTATGTCGACTTGTTGTGAATATTTGTTTAAAAGTTCGTTGTTGAAGTCATTGAATTACAATTTGTAAAGTCAATGGTTGAAGTCACAAATAAGTCGATTGAGTTGTTAGAAAAGAGGAAGAATGGTTGCTCTAAGAGGTCGATGGTTGAAATCTTTGTGGCGGTACGTACTTGTGACTTTAAATTCTAAGTTACGTACATTTGTGAAATTCTGAGCAATATATCTCACTCATCGAGTATATAACCAGAAATAGAGACGAAATAAGGGCCATATATTCCTGGTAACACATTAGCGATACAGCTCTTAAAAACATCAACTCTCGTTTGCACTGAAATATAGACAGGCCAACTACTGACCTGTGTGTACGTCTCCGTATATTCCAAAAAATATTCTGTATTTATTGTAATAAAGATAATATAACTAACTATAACAATGCTGTTCTATTCGGTGGTGTAGGAAAAACAGCAAAACAAACAAACCGAATCACATTTTATCGCAAAGCTCAAGTTAACTGGTCGATTTGAAGTGAAACAGTTGACGACACCTGTCAATTGTTTCGAACTCGGGCTAGCCAATCGGAGCGCAGTTGTCACAGGAATGATATGGCAGAATAGTTTTCAAACAAATTAAATGATATTTCGTCTCTATTTCTGGTTATATACTCGATGGTCTCACTGTAGTCATCACCAAATAAGAGGCCATATTTGACACTTGACATCGTGATGCGAATAGGGATGTGGACTAATCATATCGGTAATCACATTATACGATTTTCACGAGAAATCGATTAAAAATTTTAAGAGTTTGTGATTAGGGTTTGTTTAGATTATTTTTCGGTTCATTCTTGTTCAGGGGGCCTAAAAGGCCAAATCGTGCAATTAAAAGCAATTAATTTACAGAATTCCTTGCAATTCTGTAGCAATTCCTCTTATTTTCGTAAAATTGTCCCACATTCCGATGAATTGTATCCAATTCTTTTGATTTTAATTTTATAATATTCTTAAAGGGATTATTATGAGAATTTAGTGTAAATAAGTATGTTCATCAATAAAACAACTACATAAGTCAATTTTGTTTTCCGAGAAATCGTAGTGACTCGATGAAATTCGGCGATTAATTGCTTACAACACTATTATTAAGAAAAAATAGCTTGAGGACGTAACTGTTTTTAGGACGTTTCGGAGTAACTCAAAATTGCATTTTATTTTGGAATTTGTGCGAAAACAGTACTTTAAATATGTTTTGTCATATTATGTAATGTTTCAATAAAATTTGTGTATTTTTTAAAACTCAATTATGCTAATAATTGTTTGTTTATTGTTCCGTTGATGGCATTCAAAGTTACATACTATCGCCTTTTTTAGCCGTCAAATTTGGCCTCTTATTTGGTGAGGACTATAACGGAAGGAAATGAACGTGTTGAAAACTGCATGTTGAAGAAGGTTCACAACACTCGGAAAACTTGTGTAGCTACCAACCCGCATTGGATCACCGTGGCTATGGCCTAAAATATAAAAAAGGAGACCCGTGCAGTGCCGGCTTTACTTGTGCAGGGGGCCCGGCGCCGAGCGCTGGTCGTGATGCTTCCAAAGAGCAGCGAAGTAAACGGGCTATGGCTTCCCAATATCATTTATAATTGCACCATTTGCACCCGAATTTCCGATTACTGAGGAAATAATTAAAATAGTATTCCATTTTGATCGCGCGCCTACTAGAGGGCACCATGTTATTGATTGCACCCCGACGCTACATCTATGTCGGGTCATGGAAAATTTCCGTTTTGAAACAATCCTATTTTTCCGGATATTTTTCCTTTAATTTCCACTTTTGACGCTGACACCTGTCAAAAGTTGAAGTTACTGAACGAAAATGATGAACCATTAAAAAGGTTTTTTTCGCTATTGTGAAATCATTTTAAAACTCATTTTTCTGTGAGTGGCTGTCAGCTTTACCAGTTTATTTTATAATTCACGCTAAATAACACTTCAAAAGATATCTAAACGTAGAATATAATAAGAACCTTCGAAATTATATTTTGCCAAATTTCCACTATTTGGAATTTTTCGGAAAATTACCCAACAGTAGCTACATCACGCCAGCGCCAGACGCAGGCCCAGCGATGGGACTTACAGGTCGATAATGATACCTACTCAAAGTTACAAGGAATACTTAACCATCTCACAGAAGCCTTACGGGCTGGCAATGATTTACAGACTATTTAAAAACGTTTCTTTTTGTTGTTAACGATTTTATCTACCGAGTAGGTTCTTATAGTTGTAAATATTACATAAGCCATTGAGCCTTTAGGTATGACAATACTGAGCGATGTTCCACAACAATGCTACCCTTTAAGTATGAAGATAAGATAACGAGAAAGAAACAACAATAGAATTGTGTAATAATATAAAACTATTGCCAACTTACATCTAGCCGTGTTTCGGCGACGATTTCTTCATTCCTCAACAGCTCGTGTTTGAGACCGTTTCTTTTCCTGAAAATTCAAAAAAGTTATTAATAGAGATAGGTCTTTCATTCGAGAATGTCGAATTCATCTAGAGTCAGAAACTAACACAAAATTATTTTGTTCCGGTGTTTATTTTATTGAATATTATGATGTTTTATTACCATTATGTTCATATATTTTTGGATCGAACAAATACATAATTTTAGTAAATAAAGAACGTGATTAAAATATGTTTTGACTGCCTAAATACCTAGCCTATAAGTATGAAAATCTGAAAATTAAAATATTGTCTTTATTATCTTTCACAAACTTATATACCTATATAAGTTAAGGTCCCCACGTTATTGAATATAGTTTCATTTGTGAAAGTCTGGTGTCCATAATAGAATTAACCTGTGTTCTTGAGCACCAGGCTCTCACCTTTCCACTTCTAAGCATAGGTAAGAAACTTAGGCATGGAATAAAAGGATCTGTATACTTAAGCAATTACAAAATAAAAGCAAAAATGGAAATTAACCGTTGTTAAATTAGAACTAAACAAATTAGAAGAAAATTGTCAGATGTTTGTGTTTTCAAATAGCCTCGATTTTTTCCCCAGGCCAAGACGCGGAATTGCAACGAGCTTGAGAGTTCTTCTCCTAAACCTACATAATTAAGGCTGTACGCAAATGACGTAGATATACAGCTCGTATCTCTGCTCGTAACTAATGTTACTGTCTACTCGTGTTTATCTATTTATTTGCCAAACAAATCTAGACGTTACAAAACCCTAACAACATTGAAATAAGATATTAGATTAGAATTCCTGTGTTGTCTGCGGAATGTAGCAGTAGAGCTCCCTCTAAAACAGTTCGTCTAGGGTAGTACTGCCACCTTATATATTTCTGCTGCCGCAAAGCATTTCCGGTTTTGAAGGGTAAAGGTGCTGGTGAAATTATAGGCACATGGGACTTGTCAACTTATATCTCAGGGCGACGGGCGCAGTGGCAGTGCCTCTCAGATCTATGCGATTTGAAGCTCTAAGTGGCACTGCAACTGTTATGGACAGGCGTGTCGCTTACCATCAGGCGCACGACATGTTCGTCCCATCACTAAGTCACAAAAATATGTCTAAGCTATATACGAGCTGACACGGATATAAAAATAATTAATTAAAACGGAATCTAAATGATTTTGTAATTAGATACGTCGTAATGATGACTTTGAATATTCCTAGAAGTCAAATTATAACTGTACTAAAGCATTCATGACAGTTATGGACTCTAACATATTTAAATATAATCGGTATTAGTTTGCTAACGTATTTTACGACCACGGCCCCAGTTCTGCTAATTTCAAATCACCTCAGTTCTGTGTCGAGATGGAGTTTCAATGGCAGGATTTTATAAAAGTTAAGAGTAGATGCTTGCCATCGAGTTATTCAATTGCCATTGCAATTTTTTGATATTCTGCTCTTCAATGGCGAAATCATCGAGTATATAACCAGAAATAGAGACGAAGTGTCATTTAATTTGTTTGAAAACTATTCGACAACTGCGCTCCGATTGGCCAGCCCGAATTGGAAACAATTGACGGGTGTCGTCAATTGTTTAACTTTAAACCGACCAGTTTAACTTGAGCTTTGCTATAATGGACGAAAATTGAAAAATTACATATTTAATATTTAATTACCGATGAAATGTGATTCCGTTTGTAATTAGATGTTTTGCTGTTTTTCCGACACCACCGAATGGAACAGACCTCCGTAGTTAGAGATATTATCTCTATTACAATACAGAATATTTTTGGAATATACGGAGGCGTACACACAGGTCAGATGTTGGCGCTGTACTATTTCAGCTTTCTAAGTTGTGATTTCAACGCAAACGAGAGTTGATATTTAAAAGGCCCGTTTCCCTGATGAGTTGCCAGATATGGATGGCTCTTGTTTCGTCTCTTTTTCTGGTTATATTCTCGATGGGTGAAATGTAAGTATGTCGAAGGCATAGTGTACTAATATCATACATATTGAAGATTAAATTGCAGATTAAACGAGACACAATGTAAGATATGCCATGGTAATTTTTTAGTAAGGTAACGTCGATAGTTAGTGATTGAATTAATGAATGCCATCACTGCTATTCCTTTGATACTCTATTGCGACTCAACTCCCATTAGATTTTAGCAGAATAACGAAAACTGGGGCCCAAAATTATAATAAATAGATAAAGGTTATCTACTACATAGTCTCCCAACGTGGTCCGTACCGCCGAGTCCTAGCGATAGGGGTCTCAAAATCAATTGATGCTGTTGAAAATGACCTGAATTGTCGGCCTATTCCACCAGTTCCTACCAGCTGGATAAACTATATTACAAATATATAATTTTTTCTTACGATTTTATGTGTTAAGTTAATATAAAAAATACTTGTTTTCAATTATTCTCTGTGGTGGTGGGCGTTGAAAATTTTACCGAAGTGGGTGGTGAACCAAAAAGTTTGGGAACCCATGATCAACTAGATCAATATAACAATATAGGGGGTGATCACAACCGTGAACTAAGGTCTAAAATGTATAACCTACTGAAGCCTCCTTTCACTCGCTCTGAGTATTACAAAAATTCTTTTACTATTAAGGCTGCAAACTTGTGGAACGATCTCCCATTTGAAATCCTACATTCTAAGTCGCTACCTATTTTCAAAACCGGATTGCGTAAATATCTTTTATCACAGTCCTAGTCTGCAACGTGTGTATTAGTAAGTACCTATAAGTTATTAGTAAGTATAAGTTTATTTAGGTATATTTATATATACATATATCTACGTAGGTATAATATATCATTATTTTTTAAATATTTTATAAATTACTATGTGTCTTTATTTAATTTTATTATTTTGTATTTTTTTATTTTTTATTTATACAATTTTATTTTTTTTATATTTTTATTTTTATATTTGTAAAATTGGCACACTACGTCTCCCGCTCCGATTAGCATTCCTCTAACTCTAAGGTTATCTGGAAGAGATCGCTCTTAGCGATAAGACCGCCTTTGCCCACATTAGTTTTAAGTTGTTTATGTACTATTCTTGTTCTTGTGTGTGAGCAATAAAGTGTTTGTCTATCTATCTATCTATAACTTATGACACAAGAACGCATTGTGAGGAAACTTGAATATCGAAAAATGTGCAATAACATTCACCATTCGATCGCGACTTTTGAATAAGAACTTCTGCTTAGAGAAGTCCGTTGCATTTGTCAGACGTGCATTTGCCAAAAGACGACAAATAAATAATAATTTATATAACTCAAAGCCCCGTACCAGGGAAACATTGTGTCGCTAGTGCCGTGGACACTCATATATAGTGAACCAATAATATCAGTACAGAGTATAAGAAAACCGACCTCAACATTTCGTGGAATTACATCTATTTGCCAAATTTTATTGAAAGTAGTCTAGTTTGCCATCCTTAGAGGTCGAATATTTTCTTCAAATTTAAATGGGACCAATGCTGAGGTACCCTCTTTCCAATAAAAAGCGAATCATCAAACTCGGTTTACAAATAATTATCGCGTAACATACATACAAATGTAATAAACAACATAATCATGGTAAGCGTTTAGCTGCGGAGGCAGCAGAAAATAAATGTACACAAAAAATCAAAAGCCACGTTATACTGGTCATCCTGCAGTAAGAATGCGAAAAATTCAAAACAAAAGACTTTTTTTTTATTAATTTATTTCTGGCCATGGAAACAAAGTCCTTCAGCCGAAAACATAAAAATAAGTTTTTCTGTAAATATGGCCGCCACAAAGAGGATAGGCGATTTGAGGCGGCGTGCTTGGATTGACTCGGGATTCCTTAGAACGGGCCGATACGGGTCTTTTAGTTCGAGATTCGTATAATTTCGCGTTTTAATCTTCGATTAAGGCACAATAGCACTATCCTATTCCACTTTAAACTAGATTTCACAAAATAATTGAAAGTCAAAATAAAAACGACACTTTTCCCTCCAAAAGGTCCAGAGCGAATCAACAAAAGACGTTTATAACCGGTGTTGCAAGCTTGAAAATCTATTTTGTTTTATTTTAGTATTTATAAAGCCACGTTGGGATTATAATCGAATTTTAGTGTACCACTTATCATAGCAGAACGAGATGTGTATACCGTTACCAATAATTACGGTATATCGAAGTAAATAATGATACTATCGATTACCTTCGTGCGCACGCAACCTTTTGTTATCCCATTTCAAAAAACGTTCTCAATTCGACTGCATTTTTAAAATTATTTTTTGAGTGTATGTTACGCAATGATTGCGACGTCTTTGAGCCGATTTCGATTCAGTGTAATTCTAAACGTCGTAAATGGCCAATTATGTGTGACAACAAGACTCTTATAAAAGCGTATAAATTGCCTCTTAAATGAGTTCACGACGACAGTCAAGAACGCAGCTTATGCTAATAAATATAGTAGACAATATATATACTACATTATATACAATCATCTATAAATTTCCATTACTTTCTAGAACAGCAATTCAAGACACAAAAGCACTTAAATAAAATTTTATTGTAACTCGTACAAAATTATAACATTAATTTTATTTATTATTATTTTATTCATCATATGATAAATGTTGTGACCGTATTTGATGCCGGCCTGTTGTGTGCCGGACGGACAGGTGGCAGGATCACGTTTTTTAAACTGGTACCGTTTTGTACTATGTTTATTATCTCTAATATTTCGACTTAACGAGTTTAATCCAAGGTTCTTGAAAAAGCTCTTGTCTGCTTTCGCTTTCCAATAGACAAAATTATTAGTTTTTTTTTATTATACCAAGTGACGGGATGAACAAGTCGCGCGCCTGGCGGTAAACGACACGCTTGATACGCCTGCTCTAGCAGCTGCAGCGCCACTCACAGCTTTAAATCGAGGGGCACTACCTTGCCTATAATTTCACTAGTACTTTCAAAACCCGAACGCAGTAACGCCCACATTACCGCTTGGCGGCGGAAATAAGTAAGGTGGCAGTACTTCTCTGGACGAAC